TTATACTGGGATATTTTATTAATTTTTATTTTATTATATATATGTACATATATATATTTAAAGATTTATTTATTTATGCATACAGAACTGGGGTACAGGCCAGAGGTGCAGGGGCTATGAGAAGACTCATCAGAGACAAAGTGTGGAGCAGAACAGGTCAAATGATGAAGTACACTGCTTAGAGGAGCAGCAAGTGGGTCTGGAGAGATCAGCTGCATCATGTGGATCACCTCCGGGGGTGGGGATCCAACTCATGCTGAGGTGGCTTTAGCTTCTTAGTGCTTTGCTTTAACCTGCTGCAACACCAGGGAGGGCTCTTATTTTATATATATATTTTAAGATTTATTTATTTATTCGTACAGAACTGGGGTACAGGCCAGAGATGCAGAGGGTGAGAGGATTCACCAGAGACAGAGTGGGGAGCAGAACAGGCAGATTCACGAAGTACACTGCTGAGGGGAGCAGCAGGCAGGTCAGGAGAGGTCTGCCGCGCCATGTGGATCTCCTCCAGGGCAGACGGGAATCGAACTCATGTGGAAGCGGCTTATGTTTCCTAGTGCTGTGCTTTAACCCGCTGCGCCACCAGGGAGGGCCCTATTTTATATTTTTAAAGATTTATTTTGTTTATTTATGCATACAAGAGCTAGGGATGTAGTCCAGAGGTGCAGGGGATGGAGGTGGTGTGAGAGGATTCACCAGAGAAAGAAAAAACAGGCAAATTGACAGAAATAAACTGCTGAGGGGAGCAGTGGGCAAGCCAGGAGAGGTCTGCAGCCCTATGTGAGTCAGCTCCCTGGCTGGGGATAGAACTCGAAGTCATGCTGTATTGCATGTCAATAGTATCATAGTGCTGAGATTTAACCTTTTGTGCCACCAGGGAGACCCTGGAGTAATTTTAATTTTAACAAAGATGGAGCCTCAAAGGAGTAGTCTTTAACAAATTTCACATATATTTAATAATTGTTATTTAAATATTGCTCAGGTTAAAATTTTAATTGAACGTATTTCTATTGACATTTAAATATTTTCATTATAAGTTAAAAATTTTTCCAAAGGATATATTTTTGGTATATTTTAAATATTGACTTTTTGCAATAAATCTGTTACCTTACTCTTTTAAAAGTTCAAATGGAATCAAAATACCATAGCGATTTTTCACTGATTGTATTAGAGTAATGCATGCTGGATGTTAGTATAGCAAATTAATCCTCTAATTTCTGCACATTAATATAGCTTCTTTTTCATATACAGTTAATTGGAAGTCATTTTCGATACAACTTCCTACTTAATTGTGATCCACCATTTCTGAAAATTTGAGAAGCTTTGATCTTTTCATTCAAGCCATTGTATAGGAAAACAGAATGTTGAATCGAACATAGAAAGTTTTAATGAGCCACCTACATTATTTTGGCTATAATTTGGTCATTTGGTCAGATTAAACTACAAAAGTCTGGAACTGTTTAGTTATGGGCCCAGGGTAAAAAGGAATTGTGTTTTGTGAGCATAGAGCAGTGTCCACATATTTTGCTTTCTGATTACCAAGTATGCTTCCTTTACTCACACATGAAATATACTCCCTCCCTTCCCAAAATAGACAACCCAATCCTTCATTTGTCACTGAACTTACTCATTTCCAGTTTCAGGATCTCTAGTAGATTTCTCTCTATTGAAATCTGGATTTAGATTCCTCTGTTAACTGCCAGTATCTCTTCCCACCACAGACACCATTATCATCCATAGTCACATCTGACTATGGTTATTGCTTAATTTAGGATGATCTAAAAACTAGGTTATTTAGTTCAATGCAATCTCTATAGTATATGAAGTTATATTTGAATAAAATCAGTCACAATTTTGTTGAACATTAGCTAAGTAAAAGCATAGCTAATACTATCTTGGGGGAAGGATTCTTTAGATTTCTTATTTATTCACAGAGAACTGAGGTATAAACCAAAGGCGCAGAGGGTGGTGAGAGGCTTCACCAGAGACAGAGTGGGGAGCAGAACAAGCAGATCGACGAAGTACACTGCAAGGGGAGCAGCTGGTGGGCCAGGAGAGGTCTGCCATGCCTCGAGGATCACCAAAGGGCCCAGTAATCTAAACTGCACTGAGGTGGCCTGTGGCAGCTTGCAGTGCTGCGTCCCAACCCACTGAGCCACCAGGGAGGGCTCAGGGGAAGGATTTTATCTATAAGGCTTTACTTTTGTTGGATGACCCTGTTTACTTATAAAATGAGATAATTCAATTTTCATATTCTTCTGACTGTGTAACTGTTTTCCAGTCTCAGAGCAGTTGAGGAAGTGACTTATACCACATGATTACATAAAATAAGGTAAGAGACTCTTTTTCAGAAAATCAAACAAATTTAAAATATACAAAATATGGCCCTCCCTGGTGGCACAGTGGGTTAAAGCACAGCGCAAAGAAGCTTAAAACACTTCCACATGAGTTAGATCCCCGCCTGCCCCGGAGGTGACCACATGGCGTGGCAGACCTCTCCTCACCGGCCCGCTGCTCCCCTCAGCCATGTACTTCGTCGATCTGCCTGACTGCACCCCAGTCTCTGGTGAATCCTCTCACCCTCTGCATTTCTGGCCTGTACCCCAGTTCTGTATGAATAAATAAATAAATCTTTAAAAAATATATATACAAAATAATGCTTACACTATCATTACTATTTATATCAAACATAGTAGTATAGAATTATATATTATATTTATGTTAACATATACCTAGTGATTAAATATTAGTTCTATGAACTTCTATGATTTCTTCTTCTATTTTAGTCAGGTTTTCATGTGGTGTCCCGGCTATGTATGATACTGCGGTCAATCAACCTTGAAATGTGTTATCTTTTCCTCTGTATTTTTTTTTCTTCCATATCTTTTCCTTTGTGCCTTTTTTTTTTTAATCAGGCGATCTATTGAATATAACTATTTTACAAACAATAATTTTATATACTTGAGATTTTTGAATAAATGCTTAAAATTCTACTGATTTTTTCTAATTAAAAAGTTTTTGTTAATTTGAAATAACTGTATGTGTGTATGTATAAAATTACCTTGAATTTTGAAATTATACATAGTCATTTCTAACTGATAAGCAGATATTAAAGGAAAATATCTATACCTAGATTTGTAAGATTATTAGTTCATGATATTATCATCTTGTGAATTTGGGGAACTCACACAAAATAATAAAATCTTATGTAAAGATGCTTTTCTTCAACTCTTTGTTTCTGTTAACTCTAAAATTAATATAATATTCATTTCTTGCAGTAATAATTTGTTCAGAACTTTCTTATCTCATCTTCTGACAGCATCTATTGTCCAGCTAAATGTGTACTATTTTATTAATTGCACACAAAATAGTGAGTATACTTAGGGTTTTGAAGACTAGAGTGTTGGGGTTTTGTTTTCTTTGGGTTTTTTTTCTTTTTTGATAAATATACTTCTGGATTTTATAGTACATTTTAATTTAGTTTTGTTAATTTATTCATAAAATTTATAACATCAACTATTTTCACAATACAAAATATGAAATGTTTATTTATTTTGTCTATTGATAGAACCAAGCCACATTAAATAGAAACCAACTTTCTATTTTTTCAACTCCTATCCCAACAAAGGACTCTTTAACAGAATGGTATACACCACAATCAGTACATTTATTTCTCACAGCTGAAGGATATTGTAGGATAAAAAAAGTAAGCTTCTGAATTTCATGAATTCTTTATTCTACTTATAATATTTTTATTACTGTGTAGCTACACATGTTTACAAAATATAAAATTGATTATTGTTACCCATTCATCTTATTTCTAATTCTTTTTTTTAGGTGATGTTCACTTCAATTAGTTAACAAACTATAAATTAATTGTAGTACTCTTTGAAGCAAAAATTCTCTTGAAATAGAAAATACAAAAAAAAACCAAATCACAGTATCTTTTAAAAGTACAAATATTTATAATGGATCTTTACTCTAAAAAATTTGTTCTGGAGTAAACATTTCATCAATAATGCTATGTCAGTAAAGTTCAAAACTTTTTTTTGCTGTGGTATATGTGTGGGGTTTGTACACTCATCCTATCTTATCTTAACCAGTCTCTCCTTATTCTTAAAAACAGAACTTTAGGCATTATGTTAATAGAAAAACTTATTTCCCAGGCTTTCTGCAAATGGGGATGGCTAATGTGCGTTAAGACTTGTTCAAAGAACCTCTGGGTAAGTTATTATTGCTCTTCTATCAGAACAGAATAGGGGTTTATCGTTCAGCTTTTTACTACAATATTAAAACAATGTTGTTCTTTGAATTAAGGCCTTTAATAGTTTGATGTTCATAAACTATCTTTACTCATTTAGCTACTCTTTTCTAAGCCTTAAATATCTAACTCTTGAGTTTGGAACTATAAAACCTATCTGAATAGTTATTTACTTGATGAATTATGTGACTTTCAAGTGATTGTACAATAGAATCAGTAGATGCGGAGTAAATGGTCCCACACTGTGTTGATGGTTGCTGATCCAAAGACTACTTTGGGAACCACTCACTAGTTATGCATAACATCCTGAGATTCTGTGTATGGAGATAGTTTAATATAATTTTGATGGGTAAATGCGGTACCAGAAACTATTAATAGAAACTGGTAAGATTAAATGTGCTCCTTTTCTTTCACCAGCTTCGGTTTTCCAGAGTAAACGTGAGGGCTTGTGCATTTTTTTCTACTTTTCTGGATTCATCTTTCCTTTCTTTATCTTTGCGTAAATGGAGTTGATTAATGTTAGGCAAATTGTAACAACGACAGTCTTTTCAATTTTTCTTTCTTTATCCTTCATCTTTTGACCACCCACTCACGACCACCAGATCTTCCTTTTTGTCCGCCGAGTCGCTGAGAGTTTTTCCCGCCAACTCAGACGTCCCGCCTCCGGGCTGCCCGGGCGCGGCGTGATTGCGCACGCGCGCGTCACGGGTGTGCAGCCAGCGGCTCCAGCGGGCGAGCCATGGCGGAGGCGGAGGCGGAGACGGAGGCGGAGGCGGAATGTAATCTGTTGCGCTTGTTCCCGCTGCTTCTGCCCCAGAACAGGGCGAAAACAGTGTACGAAGGATTCATTTCGGCTCAGGTATCCAGCCAGCTATTGCTCTTTTGCTAGAAGCACCACACCCTTTTGCGCAGCGACTCTGCCCCTGAAAGTCCATCCCGGGAGGGGTTCGGAACCCCCACTTCCGGGCTTTGAGAGGCGCAGCGCGTCCCGGCTCCCCAGAGTTTGAGTACTGGCGGTGCTGGAGACCCCTCCTCACCGCCGCCCAGCGCTCGGGAAGGCCGAGTTGAGGGGAGGCGGGGAGACGGGCGCGCGCTTTTGAGTGTGTGCGGGGCGGTAGGCAGGGGCTGCCCCTGCGCCCAGTACTTTTACCCCCTCCTTGCTCACTTCTGTCCCACGTGTAAACTTTTTTTTTCTTTTTTTTTTAACTACTGTGATTCGAACACCCTTTCCCCCTTACCTCCACGAAGGTTGGTGCAGTGACATTCCTGCTAATTACGTTAGTTTTTAGAAAGAATATTTTGAAGGAAAGCCTCCTTTTGGTTCTCTGCCAAGTCCCTTGTAACTTGATCAAGTCCAGTCGTGATATAGTGTAGAAAATCTTAACATTTAATTACCTGTGATGATTCAAGTGGTCGCTCATGTTTATTACAATTAGTAACACGTGTGGGATTTGCAAGTACATGTCACTGGAGACCTCAATCTTTTAAGGTCGAAATTTTAAAAACAGTTGGGTAGCTCAGGCGTGGGAAGTGAAAAGGTGGTTACATGTCCATGATTGCAACAGACTACCTTAAAGTTAGGCTGTCTAGTTCCACTTGTAAATTTTTCCCCACCGCTGCAAACCAAGAGACCTTAGGCTGGGATTTTGAGTATAGACTTTTGTCAGCATTGTGCCCCTTTCACCATCAACATATATACTCGTTAAAGGTAGGGGCCAAATCTAGGAATCACCGTATATTTTGGGAGTTCCCTCAAAACACTGTTTTTCAAAAATATTGAATGACTTACTAAATTCACTTGCTAAATGAAACAAACGTACCCCTAAGCTCATTAGATGTGGAACTTATAATGCAGTGTGATTAAAGAACGATAATAGATGGTACATTTGAACTTCATTTACTTTCAGACCATCATAGAAAATAGGAGTTAAAATTCATTATTCTGGAATTTCCTCCTCCAATTGGATTTTGAATTACATAGTTGACAATGGTACATTTTCAGACAGTTTAGAAAAAGTGAAGAACTACTAATGTTACAAAATTACTTCACCCCCTCCTCCCTCTAGTTACTTATCTCATTTAAGTCACTTTACAAAGTAATGGATCATGTATTTGGTAAAACCTCTAGAAAAGTGAAGCCTTGCTGCAATTCTAATTTTGTACCTGCCTTAAACAGGGTTTTAAAATCGTTACCTAAGCACCTTAGTTTAGCTTGTTTGTTTGGTGGAGCTGATTTTTATCTAAAAATATTTGTCTTGTATATAATTTTAATTACAGAAGGCAAGATGATTTACAGATGATTATACTCCTTATCCAGAGTCACCATTTTACATTTGCCCTATTTGATTTATCATTCCAAATATGTACATGTAGTTGGTTGTATGCAGAGATTTTCTTGAATAGCCTGAGATTAAATTGCAGACGTAGTGCTCATTTGTCCTAAATCCTTAAGTGTATATTTCAGGAAAACAAGAACACACTGAAACTCAACTATTATACCATCATCAAAATCAGGAAATTTAATCATGATATAATACCATTTTTTAATCTGGAGTACATACTCAGATTTTGTTAATGGTGCAATCATGTGTTTTATACCTCCTCCCATCTGGTGTAAACTCTTAAATTTAGTTGTCATTTCTGTTTAATCTGAAATAGTTTTTAACAGGGTGGTCTCCAGAAAAAGGAGAGTTTCTAGGTTCAGCATCCCCAACCAAGGGAGGGTAGGGCTGGTCAGGGAAGAGAAGCAGGAGAGGAAACTGGGAAAGAACAGAGAGTGAGCCAGTAGGAAACCTGGAGGAGGAACGTGAAGCAGAGTCTTGAAGAAACTACACTTGTTTCTCTGCATTGGATAGGTTGAAACAGATGTAGGTGAGTGATTTGTGGGGAGGTTAACAATGGCAGCTTTTATCCTGATTTTTGATTTTGCTCTTTTCCTTCCAGACTTGTCTGGCTGTTTCTGACCCTTATGTATGGTTCCCGGCTGGAACATGCCTTAGACTTGTGGCAGGCTCTTGGGCTTCAGTGGCCCTGCTTTGAGCCAACCCAGTTTGGCTGGACATTTCCTCACGAGGGGATGGGTAACTTTGGGTGCTTGATTTGGAAACTATATTCTTCTCCTTTTCTTTGTTGCACACTAACTGTGTTAATTTTTTTTTCATTAAAGGCCTTAATATGTTTTGTCTTAATGCAGCAGGTAGCAGAACCTTAGAGCCAGCAGTTTTGGGGGTTTTGGGGTGCCTCTTTCCTTGCCTGTGTAACAAGCAGTTCCTTAGTCTTTTCTAAACTTGGTAGTTTAGAAGAGTACAAATTATTCGGTAAACCATCTCTCAGTTTGGGTGTGATGTTTCCTCATTATTAAGTTTTAGTTTATGCAATTTGGCAGGCATTCCACAGGGAAAAGAATGCTTTACAGGGCACATGGTCTGCTGCTCCCATTAAAGATGATACCTGTGATCACCTGTTTAAGGTGGCATTTGCTAGATTTTCCTCTTGTATATAATAAGTACTTTTGGGGAACTGCTGTGAGGCATCAAGCATTCATATACATGCTCACCAGTTTTAGAACCGTTGACTCTTCTTTGAGTAAACTGATACTGTGATAGTTGCCAAAGGATGCTTTTTTTCCCCTAACACACATCATTTCATTTGTGTGTGTTAATTGGCTTTTATTAGAAGGAGTAACTTTTCTGTAGAAGTATTTTTCTTATACATATTTGGTCTTTATACATAGTTCCTGGCTAATAGCTCCTTAATCTTTGTAGTTTTGTACAATTGTGGATGAAAGTCTTTCATTATGTTAATCAAGGTAACATTTGGAAAACACCTGGAGATGGGGGCTATTTTTTGCCACAGAATACAGCAATAGTGTGGAACTTTGAGTCTCACACTCTGATTTCCTGGGAGAGAGGAGCTGGAGGTTGAGTTTAGTTGCCAGTGGTGGGTTATTAATCTTAAATAAGCCTTGAGACCTTCTGAGAGCTTTGAGTTGGTGAACATAAGATTTGATTTGGGGGAAATGGCAGCCTGGAGAGGGGACCTCTGTAATTTTCCCCCATACTTTACCCTGTGCATCTCCTTTGGTTGACTGTTCCTGAGTTATGTACCCTTTGTATTAACTTGGTGATCTAGTTAGGAAACTTGTTTTGTGTGTGTGTTCTTTGTGCCAATCTAACAAATGAATTGAACCTGAGGGAGGGATCCTGGAAGTTCTGATTTGTAACTAATCAGTGGGAAGCACAATAACATGCTGTGAATTAGAGAGCATCTGAATTGGAGAGCAGTCTTGGGAGACTGAGCCTTTTACCTGTGAAATCTGTTGCTATCTACTGTAAATGGTATTTTTTGGTATGTATGTATGTATGTATGTATGTATGTATGTATGTATGTATGTATGTATAGATGTATGTATGTATAGATGTATGTGTGTATGTGTGTATATATGTATGTATGTGAGCTTCATTGAGTTGACTTCTCAGGTACTCTGCTAGTATATTCCAAGAAATTATTGTTGGTGTGGAAAAGTGTTCACACACCTATACTGCAAATGAGTCTTGGAACCCAACACAGTTTATTTGATGAATTAAAATGACTGTTTCCCTTATTTATTTTAGTGCATAAGTTGCCCCAGATTTGGACAGTGAGAGACCTTTTTATTAAATTTTTAAGGTGTATTTTTCTCTTACACTGTTTTAAAAATGCCCTATAGACATCAGTAGTGTTTTTTCATCATTTATTGAAGTTATTAAATTTTAATTTATAGTTTCTTTGTACCGAGTTGTTACTTAGTGGAAGGTTTAAAAGATTCATTTGTGGAACATTTTTTATTTTTACTTTTGTTATTCGTAATTTTATTGCATTGTGAGTAGAAACTATTGTTTGTAAAATATATTTTGTGTGTGTGTGTATTTCATATTCTATGTGTGATTAAAGAAGGATTTCTCCATTAGGAGGTTATTCCTTCCTTCTTGATTAAGCTTTGGTAGTTTGTGCCTTCAAGGAATTTGTTCATTTCACGCTTTTTTTTTTTACTATACTGGCTTAAAAGCTATTTCTAACATTTCTTTACTCTAAATGTTTTTAGACTCGGTAATCATGCTATATTATCATTTGCTGCATGACTACTACAAACCTTTAGTGACCTAAAAAAAACCAAAAAACCAAAAAACAAAACCAGCAATCATTTATTTCACCATTTCTAAGGTTCAGGAATTCAGAAGTGACTGATAGGTCATTGATGTGATTATAAGGTTACTCATAAGGAGAAAATGAGATCTTTTTTTTTATATACAAGAATTTTGTGCTACAGATTTTCCTTCCAGCACTGCTTTAGCTGTATCTCAAAAGATTCTGTTTTTTTTTAACCCCAGTTCAAAATACTTGTTAATTTTTTCCTGAACATTGGTTACTTAGAAGAGTGATATGTCTCTAAAAATTTGAAGATTTTCCAGATACCTTTTTGTTACAGGTTTATAAATTTGTCACAGAACATAATTTGTGTGATATAATTCTTTTTATTACAGATAATGACCTATCTTTGCAAATGTTCTGTACTTAATTGAAAAAGGACATGTAATGTTGTTGGGTGGAGTGTTCTAAAAAATGTCAGGTCATGTAGGTTCATGCTATTGAAATATTTTATATCCTTGCTGATTGTGTCTCTAGTTTATTAT